TATGTGACTAAAACTGCGACTAGCTTTCAACCAATTGCTCTTTGTGCTCTTATAAACTGCAGAATCATGGAGAAGGAAGAAGGAGAGTTAAGAACTACACCTTTTTTTCTTCTATCTTTACTCCATGTATTAAACACTTTAAAAATCTGTATTTTTCACTTCAGTGACATACTAAACATTCTACTACTTTCTACTTAATTTTTTATAAATCCTGGGATATTTGGCAGTTTTTCTGTCAGTGGCAGACAAGATGAACACCTTTTTGGAGAATAGGACAAACAGAGAAATGTTTCTCTGTTTGTGGATTCCTACAACACCAACAATCCCACCCTGTGCATCTCTGAGAGCATTGTCCAAATGCTCCCGGAGCTTTGGCAGGATTTGAGGCCATGACTATTCCCTGAGGAGCCAGGGTGGTGCCCCAGCACCCTCTGAGGGGAAAGAATCTTTTCCTTTTATTTTTGTTTTGTGGAAATGCTGTGGAACGTGAAAAACATTTTAAAATTAGTTTATTTAAATAAAAAATGTGAGTAGCAAACCAGAAGACCACTATTGGGCCATCTGTTTGAACGGAGAATTTTTGAACTTGTTTCCCTGAAGAGGAGCCAGGTTCTTGGCACTATTTTCTATCTTCTGAGGGGGAAAAAAAAGGGAGAGAATGTGCATGTGTGAGACAACTGGCTGCTGTTGTCAAAATGCACTTGTCACTGGGAATATAAAATACAGGCTTTTAGAGCTGCCTCAGTCCTACCTTCTGTCTTGCCGTGCCACAGAAGACGTTCAGCTGCTGCCTGCGCTTGTCGTGTGGCCAGCCCCCCGAATTTATCCTTCTCATATGGCTAAATAACTTCATCCCCGTGGCAATTTGCTTGAATAAAGAGCCTGGTGAGCGCAGTGGAGCCTGGGGATAGAGCAAGAAAATCAGCGGCTGCTCCGGTGAGCAATTACGCGGTGGAACAGCTCTTGGCAAGAGGAGGGGGTGGCCATGCTGTCAGAGCCTGGATTAAAGCCTTCATCCCCGGAATTCCCCATGTAATATCCAGCTTTTGTAACAGAGAGCACCACTGATTACAAATGTGTGCAGTGTTTAAAATTAATACCGATTTTTGCTGGTTAATTTCTGCGCCGCCGCTGATTCTGCGCGTTCGCCTACAGAGCGTCGTGCATGAAAATGAGATCAGGAAGCTGTTGTTGATCCTCCCAATTCCAGTTTGTGCCGGGTCTTCAGCCAGGGTTGTAAATTTATTTAGCACAGAATTTATTTAGCTTTATGTTGATCAAAGTTGTGTGTTTATGTGTGGGGCATTTTATAGCAGGAGTGTGGCCAGATGCACCTGAGAGAGCAGGGTGGTTTGTGGGCTGCTTCATGAGTCCCTCCCACCCTGTGCAGGGTGGGTTTGGGCACAGGAGCAGCATTTGTCACCTGTAAAAATGGTGTGCTCATCTGAAAATGAGCCTGTGTGAATGGATACTGTTCCAGCCCTGGAAAACTGGGAATAACTGCCTTGGAGTACCTGTGGTGCCCCGTCCTTTGGCCGCCAGTCGTCCCCTCCCCATGGCCTCCCCTGGCAGGTACAGCTGGGAGCTGAGAAGCTCCCTCATTAAAAAGCTGCGTGTGTCATAATCCTGAAGGGACCAGAGCAAAGCCAGCCACCTCCCCTGGGAGAGGGGATGTGGGTTTTGAGCTCGTTCTTTACATTAAAAAGGTCATTTCTTTGTTCTCAGTACCGTTGGTTTAGACAGTAATTCCTGGCTCCATCACATACGCAGATATTTAGGAAAATCGGGGGGGTGTTTTGTAGCCCTGGGAGAGTGTTTGGTTTACTCATGGGTTGCTGTAGTCCAATATTTGAACTGGCTGATCTCTCTGATTCCTCTTTGCCTGTGGTACTTTACAAACTCCTAGATGTAATTTTAAAAAATAATGAACGTGCTGCTGTCCAGGCTGAACCGTCCCAAAATCGCTGTCCTTGTCCAAACTGCTCATGGGTCTCATCAAGGCTCATCAAATCAAAGGCAGAAGCAATTTATTGTTTGCTTTCATCCTACAACCACAGATACTTGCAGGGCCTTTATATTATTCACTGTTAATGCTTTTGTTTGTGTAAATTCTTGATATTGAGGTAGGTTTTCTTAATCTCTCTCCTGTGCAGCACCTAATTTTGTGGTGTGCTCATGGTAAGGGCTCCTTAATGGTGCAGAAACACAAATTATTAAGGATGAATCCTGCTGTGAGCTGTGATTTGCATAAAATAATTTTTACTCGAGGGATGAGCGTGAGTTTGCTGTTCCATTTCTGAGCCTTCAGATTTGTTTTGAAATATTTAGTACAGCTTGGAAATGCAGGGCATTCTTTGAAACAGTTTGGTTGGAGCAGTGTTAAAATTCAAACTATTTGTCATGAAATACTTAAATCCAAACAAAAATCAAGGATTGTGAGGATGTGCCTATTCCAGCTAATGAGCACATCCTGCTTTTAAGGGTGAAGAAGCCACTTGAGCAGATTTGAGCTGACTGTGCCTGTTGGCTGCAGCAGGGTGATAGCCTTCAGTGAAGTGGGACAGCCCATCTGGATCTGAATTTAATACTGGAATTAACAATAATTGCACTCAGCTCCACGCCCAGTGTTTTTTGGGAAGGCAAGGAGCAGGTCCCCAAGGTGATAATTTAGTGTGGATTCATGAAGGAAAAGAGTTGCTGGCTGACTTAGGCTGTATTTATTAAATTTAGTGCCCTTTTCCAAGCTGCCCTCAACAGTCAAATCCTGAAGAGTAAATCTCTTAGGGCTCACGTTTGTGAGCTGGGTATGTACACTCAAACACTTTTTATTTTTCAATTCTCAACTTATTTTTTTTATTCCACCCTGTCTGTACCTTCTTTGTGCCTCTGAGGAGTGTTTTGAAGGTACAGTGAGACTGGCAGGGCATCCTGTTGACCATGGGAATAATGAGTTGGCTCCTAAACACGTTGTGTGTGTGGTATTTTATAATTAGCTGGGGGAACTTGCAGTGTTTTTTTAAAAAAAAAAAGAAATAGGAAATGGCAATTAGGCAGAACTTTCCCTCTCTGATCACTCATATACTGCATTTCCACTGTTGCTTACAGCTTTAAAACCCCTCTCTGGAGGGCTCTATATGAAGTAATTCATCTTAGTTAACACTTCATTGGGAAGCGCGTGCAATTAATCGACAATGTATGGAAATAATGGCCTGATTAATAGAAATCCAGTTCCTGAGAGCTGAGACTGGTTTCCTTTACAAGTCTTACACTTGTTTGGGATTGTTCTTTTCAGGTTCAGTAATGATATATATTTATCTGCCACTTGATCTGCAGAGGCAGGATTGAAATCCACTTTGTGAGCGAGATAATGAAAATCCATACGTAGCTCTTCTGCTCCTTCCGTGCCATTAAACAACCAGAAATGTGATAGTCTTAATTGTTGCATGTTTAATACTGCTAATAGGATATGTTTATAAAGAAAATATTAAAAAAAACACCAACAAAAAACCCCAGTGCGAACCCACAAAACCTCCCATTCTTACATCTTTTATTAAACACAGAATGTGTTTAAACATGCTTTAATGTTGCACAGAGCTGAGCTGGGGAGTAATCCTGGTTTTAAAGCTGCTGTTGTGGCTGGGCTGGGGGGGAATGCTGGGTCTAAGCCAGTGTGGGGTTCCCCTAAGGCAGCAATTTTTGTGTGGATTGTTGCATTTTGAGGATCGACATTAGCCTGACTGGTTTGCTTGGGGAGCTCGTTTGGAGAGCAGGTTGGAGCTGTTGGCTCTCAGCCCATGTTTCAATGCATTGGTTTTGGTAGAATGACAAGTTTGGAAGCTGAGAAATAGGGTTCAAATCAGAGCTAATCCCAGTTTAAGAAATAGGGGTGAAGAGTGAAGTTTAGGGTGTGTTAAGGGATGTGTTTTATCTCAGTGTGGGAAGCTCAGCTGTGAGGGTGGGTGGTGCTAAGCTGGAGGCCTTGGGGGCTTTGAGGCTTAGGTGGGGAGATGAGAGTGGGTTTGCTCCAGCAGAGGAGCCTAAATGCTTCCCCAGTGCTTAGGCCAAGCTCGCTAATCCTGGCTTAGGCTCCGTCACACCAGAAGCCCTAAATGGGATTTGTCATTTGAGAAAGGCAGCAGAGTGCCTGAAATACACAGCCCCAGTAGAAGCAATCCCAACCGTGCCCTGGGGTGGTGGCTGAGTCCCTTGGAGCCAGGGGACAGGAGGTGACAGAGCAGCTGCTCCAGCTGCTGGGGTTGGAGCCTCTTTGGTGGTCACAGGCACCCCTGTTCTGCATTCCCTGCAAATACAGGGTCAGGAATAGGATGTGGTTGGAGGCTATGACTCCAGTCTCTTTATCCAGGTGTCCAGAGCAGGTCTGGGATTCATCCCCAGTCAGCAGCACAGGGCTCTCTGTTAGTTTAGCACATCTCTCCAGAGGTAGCACCATTGTAGCTTTTTTGTCTAACATGTGTCTGGTATCTTCCCCTAACTGTGGTGTGTGAGTGTAGAACTCTCATTCCCATAACATCCCACCTGTGCTCTGAGAACTGGGCTTCCCTTGAGGAAATGCTGATTGATAAAAGAAGCTGATTTTGGTGATGAGACACGATGTCGTTTGTGTGCAACTTTGCCTTTCTTAGAGACATTTCTCTCTCTCACAGTTATTTAAATTAGGTGATACATATAGGGTTTTAACTGTATGTATCAACCCAAGGACACCTAAAGTGGGCTGTAGTGCAATTGCTGGCTTTTTCCCACATTATCCTTATTCTTTATACATATATATATATATATATATGTATATATATATGTGGCAAGTACATGCCTTAACTTGAAGTACAAAATAATAACTTTAAGTAATTCCCATGTGTGCACATATCAGTTACATTCCAGTCGCTGGTTAATTTGCAAAAGATCTTTTTTTTCCACAAGCGAAGCCTTTTTCTGTTGAGTGTTTTGCACCTTTGCTGTCTGTAATGAGCTGCTTTGTGTGGCAGGTGGGAGATTCAAGAAGGAGATAGTGGTTGATGGACAAAGCTACCTGCTGCTGATCAGAGATGAAGGAGGCCCTCCGGAGGCACAGGTGAGCCCAAAACTTCGCTTTCCTGGTTTTTCAAAAGTTCCTTTGAAAGAACTGCCTCTGCTTTGTTCTGTCCTGGGTCCTTCTCATCCTCCAGCTCATTCCAGCATCACCCTCAGGTGAAAAAAGATTTTGTCCAGCAAATGGTTGGGGTTTCAGTTATGATGGATGGATGAGTGTGGGTAGCAAATATTTGGGATTCTGACTGAGACCGTGCAAGTAAGAATATACATTTATACATTCATATATATATTTATTCCTGAATTCCCAAGCAATGTGCTTCCCCTGGTGACACATCAGGATCTCATAGAATCCCAGGATGATTTTGGTGGAGAGGGACCTTAAAGCTTGTCTCACTCCCACCCCCTGCCATGGGTTGGGACAGCTTCCACTATCCCAGGCTGCCCCAAGCCCTGTCCAGCCTGGCCTTGGACACTTCCAGGGATCCAGGGGCAGCCACAGCTTCTCTGGACACCTGTGCCAGGGCCTGCCCACCCTCACAGGGAGGAATTCCTTCCCACTATCCCATGTAACCCTGCTCTGTGGCAGTGGGAAGCCATTCCCTGTGTCCTGTCCTGCTCCAGGCCATTGTCCCAAGTCTCTCTCCAGCTCTCTTGAAGCCCCTCTGGAAGAGGCTCTGTTCTCCAGGTTGGAACCCCCCAGCTCTCCCAGCCTGTCCAAGCCATTGGCTGTAAAGGCACTTGAAGGTTTGTGTGCTTGACCCTTATTCTGTTTTGAGTAAGATTTTGCTCATGTGCTGCTTGAATCACCTCAGACCCAGCTCACCCTTTCTGTAGGCACCATCTTTATCTTGGGCATCCTCTTTCTTCTCTACCTCTCCTCACCTGGGCACTGGCAGGATTTCCTGAGTGTTGGCTGCTGCTGTCCATGCTTTGTTCAGGTCTTGCAGGAGGGATCAGCTTCCAAACAAGCAATAATTTAGCATCAGGAACTGCGCTGTCGCCAAACAGCTGAGGGGGAGCAGTGCCAGCAGCAGCAGCTTGGGTCTCAATGCACTACTATAGCTCCAGGAGGGTGAGAGCGTGGGGGAAGGTGCCAGGACAAAGGGGAAGAGAAAGGACGTGGAGGAAATGGAGGCTGAGAGAGACATCCTGGAAGGAAGTCACAGGACAAAATAAAACGTTGGCACATCTGCAGCCGTGTCAGCAGGAGCAACAAGGAGAGCTCTGTCTGGGGCTGGGAGGGATTTGGCTGAAGCATTCCCCTGCTTTCCAGCCTCTGATGCTTAGAGAACATTCACTCATCTAAAAATGTCAGGAGTGGAGGTGTAAAGGTACATGCAGCAATCTGAGATGGTTTTGTGCTGAAGAACTGGGTTTGCAGAGCTCACAGGATGAACAGCACAGGGTGTGCTCCTGGTATGTGCCAGGTAAATTTGGGGCTTTGATTGCTGCTGCCCAGTGGGAGGTGTCCCTGCCCATGGCAGGGGGTTGGAATGAGATGAGCTTTAAGGTTCCTTCCAACCCAAACTGTTCTGGGATTCTGTGATGTGTTCTCCATCCTTAGGATTTGCTGAAGAGGTTTGAGGTGTCAGTGTTACCTCACCTTTCCCATAAATTCCCTTTGGATTTTTGGGTGTAATTTCAAGTTATATGTCTATTAAAAAATGTTTAATCAGTTGATTAATTTCTGCAGTGCTTGTGGGTTCATGAATAATTGGGATTGAATTCCAACTGCAGTAATAAGGAGCTGACACCTGGAGTTCCTGACACTGGGTCATGGCTATTCCCCAGGTTACTGTCCCATTATTTGTTGCAGAATTGGAGAAAAAGGAAACTTTCCTGAAGACTCTTTTTGTGGGTCTGTGGTCTCTCCTTTCTTTGCCTAAGATAAAACGGTTCAAAGATGAAAACAATTCAATTTCCTATTGTAAAACCAAATTAACCTAGTGACTGACGGACCTAGGGTGACTTTATGATGCTTGTATCCCCAGTCCTCCCAAAGTTGCCCTAAACCAAGACACTGACCTACACTGAGCTGCTGCATGCAACTTTTTTAATTTAAAACTTTTTTTATAATTTGGTTTTGGGCTCGCCTTGAACTGACAGCTCTGCTCACTCACATTAATAAATAAGTCTGAGAATGGATTTTTATACCAGCACCTGATTTATTCTTGTTTCAAGCTATTCCCTGCACATTACTCTGGATGAGACATTCAAGGGTTCCAGACCTTGTGTTTCCTGAAATTCCTTTGGTTTTCCGTACCACAGGTCTGATATCCACAAAGATTAAGCTGTATTTCAATGTGAAAAGAGAAATGTCTGCAGGAACTGCACTGTGTAAATCTGTGGAGTGTTTTAAAATGATCTTTATTAGAAGGCTGCTCTACAACTGCTCAAACATTCAGCAGGTTTAGAGAGACTGTTGGCTTCCAAATGGATGCCTTAAGGACATTGCAGTTGGTGGGAAGAGTCCTTGGCAGGATGCTGTTGAGTCCAGTCAACAAAAACCATTTTATAATGAGATGCAAGCCCACAACTCCCAAATAATGCTGCTGTCTCCAGTTCCTCTGGTTGCATCTTGTGGTTTGAACAGTTTAACAGTGTGGTGGTTGACCTTATTCTGGCAGTGACTGTGCTATGTGTTAACCAGTCCTGTCCTTCCCCTATAGAAGTTTGTCCTCCTGATTCAAAACCTCAAAACAATTTTTTGTCTATTTTTGCACCATAACAGCCCAGGCAGTGCTTGGTTTCAATACAATTGTCATGAATATGTAGAGCCTTTCCCCAGTGAACCTCCCTGTTCAGTGTGTCCCCTGGCACATAGTAGTAATAATATAACAAAGAGCATGAAAATCCCCTGGCTGAAGCTTGTTTCCATTGCTCTAAATCTGGGTAGGAATGGAGTCACTTAGGGAAAAATAAAGGCAGCGAGGTAAGCTGGAGGTTTTTTTCTTGACATCCTGTTCATGTTCACCGTTAAGTTAAATGTCTTTAAATAATCTTAATTCACTTGTGAGCTCAAAGCTTCTCACTTTGCATGGTCACTGAGGAGCACCTTGGCTTGTCCTGTGCACCTGCATGTCTCTCAGCAGGTTCCTGATGCCAAGAGAGAGCAGTTTGCTCTTCCACTGAAAGCAGAACGAGGCACTTGGCGCTGTTGGCTCAGCTGAGAGTGTCTGTATGGTGAAGAATGGGAAGTCTCAAATTAATGCTTTTGGGCGTGGATTAAGATGTGAGAATTCCTATCAATGCCTGTCATGGCATTGCCAGCAACATCAGCATGTGTGCATGCAAATCACAGCATGGGGACTCGGCACTGCAGATGAGTGCTGCTCATTTCAAATGCACAGATCCAGCAATCTTGGCCTGCTGTGTTTTCTGGGAGTCAAACCCAGTGTGCACTGACTGGGCTGGTGCTCACACATCCCAGTCACAAAGAGATGCTCTTGTGGGGAAATGCCTTGTGTATCCCAGAGCCCCGTGGCTTGCAGGGTGATGAGATTCATCATCTTAGCAGTTTATCCATCCCCCTATTGAGGCCTGGATTGTTTGTGAGTTTTTCTGGTGTGTGTTTCCCTTGCAGGAAGGTAAGAATGTTTCTTTCTTGGTTTTCCTTCTTCCCTTTGCTGCTCTTCTTACAGTTGGCCTTTTCCATTTTTATCCTGCAGTTTGCCATGTGGGTGGATGCTGTTATCTTTGTGTTCAGCTTGGAGGATGAAGTCAGCTTCCAGACTGTTTACCACTACTACAGCCGTATGGCCAACTATCGCAACACTAGTGAAATCCCCATGGTCCTGGTGGGCACCCAGGGTAAGTGCAGCCTTCATTTCCAGCTGGCCTTTTCAGACCATATTGACACTTCCAAGCTGGCCAAGCCATGTCCTGTCTTTTCCCCTTTGCTACAGGGCTGTGGCATTGCAAGGAGGAGATTTGGGGTGAGAGAAAAATGTCCTGGCAGCTCTCTTGGAGAGGGAGTGTAGGACTTCCAGCACTGAAGAAAGAGGGGAAGTTTAGGTTAGATATGTAGAAGAAATAAGAATTTACCCTGTGAGGGTGGTGAGGCCCTGCAGAGGTTGCCCAGAGAAGCTGAGTCTGCCTCTGGATCTCTGGATGTGTCCAAGGCCAGGTTGGATGGGACTTGGAGCAACCTGGGATAGTGGAAGGTGCAGGGAGTGCAACACAATGAGCTTTAAGGCTCCTTCCAACTCAGACCATTCCAGGATTTTATGACTTGCAAGGAAATTTTAAATAATACTTTCACTGTGTGCTGGTTGTGGTGGTTTTCTTGCTCAGCATGGAGATGCCCTCATTGAATTTGGGCAGGTAAATCAGTTGTGTAGGGAAATTCTGCAGCCAGTTTCCATGTGCATGGCAGTGTGGAAGGGTTCAACTCCCTGGCATTGCTGAGAGGCAGAAGGATGAGGGGTGGAAAACCTCCAGCAGCATGGTAGGAAGCAGAAATGAACCCTGGCCTCAGGCTGTGCCTCTGGGAACCTCTGTAAATCAAGTAGAAAGGTAGCTTTTTGTCACCTGAACCAACCTCTCTTCCCCCCAGTTTTTCCTTCTGAAATAGCAGCTGTCCTGAAGGGAAATACGGCAAGGGAAAGGTACCCAAAATATTTCAGTTTCTTTGGCATTTGAGTGGTCTTTTGAATATTCTCTTCCTTGTGCCAGGATATCCCAGTAACATTTCACCAGTTTCCCATACTGTGATTGGTTTTCTGCATTGGTAGAGTTGAGGCTGTTCTGTTCCTGACCATACAGAACATGGAATCATTAAGGTTAGAAAAAACCCTTTAAAATTATCAAATCCAACTGTTCCCTCAGCACTGCCAATGCCAGCACTAAACCATGTCCAGAGGTGCCACATCCACACAACTTTTACACCCTTCCAGGGATGGTGGCTCCAGCACTGCCCTGGGCAGCTCTGCCAGGGCTGGACAACCCTTTGGGCACAATTTGAGGTAATTTCTCCTCATCCTGTCCCTTGTTCCTTGGGTACAGAGCCCACCTGGCTGCATCCTCCTGCCAGGGAGTTGTGCAGAAAGCAGAAGGTCCCCTGAGCCTCCTTTTCTCCAGGCTGAGCCCTTCCCAGCTTCTCCTCACTCCTTTTAACATCTCTTTCTAAGACTATCACCAGGTTGCTGTTCTGTGTTAGAATCAGAACACAGGTGTTTTGAATTTCTTGGTTCAGTTTTGGGCATCCTCCTTTTTAGTGTGTCCCAGTGGTTTTGGTGGTGGTGGTGAAGATTTTTGGGGTTTTTTCAGCCACGTGGTCAGGGAGCAGTTGGCCTTCCCCTGCCTCCTGCCAAGGGATGACAGCACAGAGGGGATGTGTGGGCAGCAGGGAAGGAGGAATCACTGCCCAGCTGGAGGGAGGAAACAGATGATGAGAAGGAAAAGGGGAAGTAGGAACAGAAAAAGTCTTAGGACAGCAGAAACTCCACCAAAAAGCAGAAAGGAGCTTGTTTGAAGGGCCACGTTTTGGGCTTGAAGCTGGAGTTAAAAAGATGAAGGGGAAACATTTCTTCAACATTTTATTTTCTTTGTGCCCTTCTGACACTGGGGTATGGTTTTCTATCTCCTTCCTGTTACTTCCAGAAAAAGAAAAGTTCATTTTCTGTTGCAGCACTGATGCAAAGCTGATCTTTTGAAAAGATGGAAATAATGCTAATTCTAGGAATAAACATCAGAAAAAAACACAGCTTTTTGTCTGTGTTTGATAGTGAAATAAAATATATGAAAGATGTAATACACTTTATATGTTAAAATACGTATTTGAAATACACCTTTTATATCACAGAATCCCAGAATGGCTTGGGATGGAGGGCACCTTAAAGCACACCTAATTCCAGCTGTGTCATGGGCACAGACACCTTCCAGGAGCCCAGGATGCTCCAAGCCCTGTCCAACCTGGACTTGGTTTGTGTTCCTAAAATGAGATGTGAAATGAAATCTTTCCCAAAATATTAACACTGGCTCAGTGCTTCCAGTTGTCCTCCCATGACTTCCAAAGCCAACTCGGTGCCCCAGCCTGAGCCACTTTGGAACAAGGAGGTGAATTTTGGGAAGCTGTGGTGTTCTGGAGCTGAGCCCTACCAGTTCCTATCTGGTTAAATGTTATCAGCGCCCTCTGCTGATAAAAAAATAAGCTCCTACTTTTTCTAATTTCTGCTTTATTTTTGTTAATTGGATCTGATGAGAAGATAATGACAACATCAGCTGAGGTCTGGTCCTGTCATGCCCGGGGCAGAGCCTCAAATACAGCGTTGCAAGAGGCTTTGATTCCATGTTTAGGTTCAGGTGATGTTTTTTTTTCCAAAGAACAAATCTGTTTTGCTGCTGTGGCTGGTTGCATATTTTAAGGAAGATTTTCTGGGAAGCTTTAAATGCTGAAATTAACATCCCAATTCTGGGATGTTGTAGGATCCCAGAACTGTTTGGGCTGAAATGGACCTTGAAGATCATCCAGTGCCACCACCTGCCATGGACAGGGACACCTTCCACTCACTATCCCAGTTTGCTCTGAGGCCCATCCAACCTGGCCTGGAACACTTGCAGGCACAGGGTGGAAGAGTAACACAGTACTTCTGGGGGAAAAAACTTCCATTTCAAGATCTGTTAATAAGATTATCACTTCAAATAGTATCACCTTTGTATACAGAGTCCATCACTATGATGGAGTATGATGGAGTAGCAAGAAAGAAGCTTCTCCTTTGTCTATTCTGGTGTAAGGGTTTTTTTCAGCTCCTCTGGATAAGCACTAGAAACTGAAATTTCTGATTTTCAGCTTTCATGAAAAGAAGCTGTTGGAGAGAATTCCTAGGTATGACTGCTTGGAAAAATACAATTTTGATCAGCTTTGCAGTATGTTCCCACAACATCTCCAGGTGCCCTTCACAGCAGAGTTTGAGAAAGTAATTTACAATTAAGTTCAATTTCTTGAAAATACGTCATGTTTAATATTTCACATAAAATAACCCTAAAAACTATTCGGCATGTTTGTACTAATCACCCACTTGTCTCCCTAGATATATTCTACATCAGAGCTCATGTGATTGTGTATTTTTTTTATTTTTTGGTGCAACAACTGGGCTCAATATATGTGTGTAAGGAAAGCAAAAAGCGTTGGAGGTTTTCCCCCTGCCTTTTAGAATCAGTGTACTGGTAATTTTAATAAGGAAATGTAAATTAGAGTGATGTCCACCCTGTTTCATGGTTTGTATTTAAACTCACTGCTTGGGTATTGGTCAATATGAGAGGAGCTGGCCTGAAGTTGCATCACTGGGGAGGCTCATGTTGGATATTGGGGAAAATTTCCTCACAGAAAAGACTGTCAAGCATTGGAACCATCCCTGGAAGTGCTCAAAAACCACTGGATGTGGCACTTGAGGGTTAGGGGTGACTGTGGGTTGATGTTAACACTTGGTGATCTCAGAAGTGTTTTTCAGCTTCCAGGACCCTCCTGTGCCTGTGTGACTCCCAGTCTGGTGTTTCCAAGTAACCTTTAATGGGTATTTTCCCCCTGTGGTTATGCAGATGCCATCACCTCCACCAACCCCCGCGTTATCGACGATGCCAGAGCCAGGAAGTTGTCCAATGACCTCAAGAGATGCACTTACTACGAGACCTGTGCCACCTACGGGCTCAACGTGGAGAGAGTCTTCCATGACGGTACAGCTGCCTTTTTCATCCAGCAATCACTCCATCCTCTAGCTGTTCTTTCTAAGCAGTGACCCATAGGGATAGCTCAGATATTTGCCTGCTCAGTTAAAGAAAATGCTGATTTTTTTAGGCATTTTTATAGTGTTCTCTAAGACAAGTCCTTATCTTGAACACATCACACATGCATTGATGTGTTCTCCACCAGCACCTTTAGTCTTAAGCATCTTAAGTTATTTTTAGTCCTTATTTAATTTTCAGTTTTCTTTGGTACTTGTTTTATTTTAGCAGAGTTTTCTTTGGTTTGGTTTTAGCGCTCGTGGAGAGGCTGAGGGGCTGTTTGTGCAGAGTAGCTGAAAATGCTGAGTTTGAGTAGCGTAGTGTTCAGTGTTCTCTCAAAACTGAGAGATAGGGGTTGGATCTTGGGAAGGAATTGTTCCCTGGGAGGGTGGGCAGGCCCTGGCACAGGGTGCCCAGAGCAGATGAGGCTGCCCCATGACCCCTGAAGTGTCCAAGGCCAGGTTGGATGGGGCTTGGAGCAACCTGGGATACAGGAAGGTGTCCCTGCCCGTGGTGGGCAGGGTGGGCAGGGTAAGCTTGAAGCTCCTTTCCAACCCAAACCATTCTGTGACTCTTTGAGAGTCTCATTTAGGGGTTTTGATCCTTGTGGGTCCCTCCCAGATCAGGATATTCTGATTCCATGATCCTGGAGTTGTATGAGATGGGATCTGTGCCCCCTCTAGTGGAATTACAACCAAGTGTCCTGGGGCTTGCCTGGCTTCTCCTCTCACCAGGCTCCTCTTGTGGCTGAATGTGTCAGCCCCCCATCACATCAGTTTTCTCTGTCTAAAAACCTTCTTAATTAAGTTTTAATGCTTCTCAGAGCTCCTTAGTTCTGGGGTTTTTTTGTTGCCAGCTTCTCCTTACAAAGTCCTGCTCTGCCTGTGCTTATGTGAGGCAGTGTCGCATCAGCACCTCACAACAGGGTGTGAAATGGCACTTCAAATTGGAAAAAAAAAGCAAACAATTCAAATTTTTACATGGAATGAAAAGGTGATAGATTCTAATGTTTACACTGGAGAAAAAAATAAAACTGTTGTGATTTTAACATGGGGAGAAAAGAGGCAAAACATTTTATGTTTGACATGGAAAATACTGATGTGCATGTGTTTTTTACCTATGCTGTTGGTCAGATTTCAGAGAAGAGATTTTGAAGCTGCATCTTCTTGCTTTGCTCCCTGTTTTCACTCAAACTAGTTGCAAAAATTACTGTTTTGACTGCCTAGATTTTCTATATTGATTAGGAGTTTCAAAGAGCCATTAGGGGGTTTTGTTAGCACATTTATTTTTGAGTGCTGGCTATAGTTAGATGGTTAATTATATATTCCCAGTCCTAGTGTTTGTGGCTCTGTCTACAGTCTCCTTCTTAGTTTTTTTTTCCTTTCTCAGAGATTTTGAGAGAAGTCTTTTGGCACAAAGCTAGTGTGATAAACTTGTAAGCTTTCAGGAGGCTCATTTGTCTCTCTTTGGTCATAAGAAAGAATTGACAGGGATCATGTGTTTTAAGAAATATCAGGGTGTTGTTTTACCCCCATGGCAGCCAACCAGCTCTTTAATATTTGCCAGCTAATAGGATTAGAAATGCTTCTGTATGGATGGGTTACACTTGCCAGACATGTCTGGGACCGAATCCAATTCCTGATAATTTTTGCTGTTTATTTCAGCAGGAAACAAAGCAACTTCTTAACCCCATTAAATGAGGGGGTGTGAATGAGCAGTGCAAGCTGTTAATAGGGAGCACTTGATTAAATATCTCTTGGTTTGTGCTGCTCTGGTGCATTCAGGTTCAGTGTAGCTTTAATGATTTTTAGTGGCTTCTTCAGAGGGTCCAGATTAGTTGGGCAACCTGGGATAGTGGAAGGTGTCCCTGCCCTGGCAGGGGGGTGGAACAAGATGAGCTTTAAGGTTCTTTCCAATCTAAACCATTCTGGGATTCTCTGATGTTGAAAAAAAGAAAAACAAACCAAAAAACTTTCCACCTGAGAATGTTCCAGCCCAGAGGCTTTTCTTCCACACACAATTAGTGGGTTTTGACACCAGTTCCTGGTTTGGGCTGCTTTGTTTGCAAGCTTTTTTTAAAACCTGTTTTCTTGTTTCTGTGTTGTGCCTTGCTGTGATCTAGACCTGCCTTTTGGAGGAAGAAATTGGAAATGGCATTGAAGAGCTTTTTGCTCTTTCGTTGCACACACTTTAGAAATTAAATTTCTAATTTATCCCCTGCAAGCAGCTACTGAACTTAGTGGTCATCTGTTACGATTCTTCTGTGATAACTCATTTCCCATTTTCTCCACAGCTGAGTGCTAAAATAATTTAACTTGAATGATTATTGTTATTATGAAAATGCTACTTTATTCTCGAGTTAAATCCAAATATCTCATTTCCAGCACTTCATTGCAGCTGATGAGCTCACTATTGATTGTAACAGAAATGGAATCATAGAATCACTTGGGTTAGAAAAGACCCTTAAGATCAAGTCCATTGGTTCCTATTTTGTAAGAGGAATGCTGAGTAAAGGGCAAGCCAAAATCCTGCTTCACATTTGGCTATTTTAGAGGCTGTTTTTTAACCTTCAGCCATGTCCCACTGAGGTTTAATCCTGTTGGGAATTAAAACCTGAATTTTGGGCTGAAATAAAAAAAAAGTTGTTCCATGTTGCAAGGGTTTAGCTTAGAAATGTGCCCAATGGTGGAGGATAATAAATACTTTCTTATTTTTTGGTATTTTGAATAGTTGAACAAGGGAATTGCATTTTAAAAATTAGATAAATGCTAATAAGATCCATTTTGCTTCATGTTCCCAATTAAGAATTAGAGACCTTTCTTCCCCCCTGCTTATCAGAACAGATTCTATCAATGACATTGGAAATGATTATTTTAATACTTCTTGTCAGCACAGTATTGTAATGACTGTGTACTGCCCCAGGATGCCTTCTTAATGGTTTTAGCCTTCTTGAATTAGCTTGATGTACCATTAATGCATGAGAATTGCTTTTATTTCTGTTCACGGTGGATTCGTAACTGCACATCTTGCCCTGCTTTACGTTCAGATTTTCCCTGACCCATTTAACTGTGGGCCATGCGAGTCTCTGACACCACAAAGGAGCAAATGTTCAAATGCTTACAGGATAAAATTTTACTATCATAGGGCGTGAAACAAAAGGGTTGGAGTCAAACTTGGTTTCAGAGTTGACTCTGTAGCTTAGCAGTTCAACCAAGGGGGTTTTACCTCATCTAGATGGCCCAGATTTTGATCTAATAGTGCCCAGAATAAAAATAAACCCGTGTGTGTTGAGACAGGAGTTGAAGGTTTGTGATGGCAGAGGCCACTGCTGCCTCACAATTTGCACTTTGCTCTGATGCTGTGCTGCTGCCAATATTTATGGATGTTTTATTTGCAAACTCACTAGTCTTTTAGTAAGGAATGTGTCTGCTCTGTGTAAAAAATCTACCAGAGGTATTTTATTTCCAGATCCAAATAGTATTTCCCGTGTGGCGTTGAACAAAGGTGTCTAAAAGGAGAACTTCAAAGCACCATTTCTCTGTTAAGGGATAGGAGATGACAAATTAATCCTGGTGCAGCCGGATTGAGGGGAAGGGCTGTCACTTGCCATCAGCATTATCAAGTCAGCTTTTATGGATGTGTTTTCATTAGGAAATGTTAATCAGCCCAATGGGAAGTAAATAAAAGGGAAGTAAATCGGTCCCATCCCAACAGCTGTTTTGGGAAGATGTGACGTTCGCTCTGGCACTGGATGTGGCCTGAGGGATTCTCTGCTTGGGGAGCTGGGCTGGCCTGGTGGGGACCCCAGTGCTGGGCAGAATGAGGCAGAGGTTCCTTTGGCTCCGGGAATTCCTTGGAATTCCTTGGATTTCAGCTGAGGCCTCTGGGAATGTGGCATTTGCGGTGCTGAGCTTCTCCGTGTGCTCAGGCTGGTCACACATGGCCTAGATCAGCCTGCTGACCCTTTGGCAGGCCCCATGCTTCAAACCCGCTGGGAAATCAATATTTCAGCTGGTTAGATGTTTGCATTTTCCTGGTTTGTTTATTTGTTTACTTTTTTAAATGAGAAAGTGATGTGAGGGAGTCAATTTCTTTCCCTCGATGTTATGGCTTAGCCTGGAGCAACAAACGCTCAAGCTGCGTTCATTTTAAGCCCCCGTTCATTTCAGTTTGAAGTTCGTTTTAAGACGTTGATTTTTAATGTAAAATTAACGTTTTGATCTTATTGCACATTGCGTTTCCCTGGGAATAACGGAGCGCGGCGGGAGCGGCCGCCAGGGGGCGCCGGAGCCGCGGCGTGAGGGGCCCGTGATGGCGGCGGCCCCGCCGAGCCCCCCGGGGCTTTGTGTCACCGCTCCGGGACATTGAAACGCCCCGGCCGCCAAAGCAGGCTGGAAAGAAAAAGATATAAACACCCAAATCTGGCCGCCCTCATCTTGTGAAGTGTTTGTGTTTTATTCTGAACTTACTTCAGCTTCGTCCTTGCTCGTGCTTTGCCTTTACACTTAGTTTACCCTTCCTGCCTGTAACTCTTATGGGCCATAAATAAAGGAGAAGATTTAATTTGGAAGCGAGAATTTCACGCCACCATTTTTTGATTTTATTTTTTTATTTATTTTATATTTTGGCTGTTTTTGTTTGCACAGACGTTTCTTCTGGTTTGCAGGTAATCTCTCAGCCCCATTCCCATAGAGGACAAGTTCTGGTGTCATTAATCAGACTGCACGTTGTTGTAGGATGGCCTGGTGTTACCTAGCAGGAGGAAATGAACCAATATCTGAAATTGATATAATTTTATATATAGGTTTGAAACGAGCTGTATGAATTGAGCAGTGCCTGGTGAAACAGGTCTGAAGAAGCCTTCACTGGGCTTTGGGTTGGGCTGGAAAATGGATCCAAATCCTTGGATTTGTATTTTCCGACTGATTGCCAAATTTCACACTTTGCACATT